AAGGTGATCTATCTGCTGATCTAACCCCTGAGGAGTCTCTCAAGAGAAAACTTGTCAGTGCATACCCATGAGTTGAGTTACCACCATGCATTTAACAATGATGAAATAGCTTATTCTGGCATATGTTACCCACGCAATGCTTGTAATTAACTCAAGGAAAAAATGCACTAAACTTTAAAACATCAAACCCAGACTAACTCTTTCAGCTGTGAATGAACTGAGAGTTTTCCAGTTACAGGAATATCATGTGAAGTGGTATGGCATGGCTGTCACCAAAGAGGTTGATGACAAAGAGAGCTTGTTCAGTGACTATTAATATGTGTGATGGAGGTCACTGTGGCCAGGACACAGATTCAAAGTTACATGTGCTACTGATGGGAAAACGTCCCCTGTTAAAGCAGGTGGCATTTGCTAACTTGGTTTACTTGGCAGCAGCTCAGCACTGCTGCACTTCACTTAAGACAAATGTTCTTCACCCAAAATAAGTTTCCTTAATGTGTTCAGAGGAGACTGGTTGCCTCCTCACACAGTGTGAAACACTTACACTAATGCAGCCAGCTGCAATTCCAGTATCTCAGCACCACATGAAATCATACCATTAGCTCACTCCATATGCCACACTTCCACTAACTTCCATCACGACAGAATAGTTCTGCTTCCCTTCAGTTCAGGAGGAACTTTCTCAATGACTTCAAATGTCACAAGGGCTAAGCTGCCCTTCTGCAGGAAGACAACACAGCAAGAGTAAAAGTAATTTAAGAGTAATCACTTGAACCCTCTGAGGTTGTAAGAGAATATTACACACTCATCAGTACAGCTCTTTCTGTATTCCTGTGTACAGAGAGGGACTCAAAATACAGTTATTTCAGACAGGAACATGAATAGAAAATTTGCATGGAAATTACTTTGGAAATAATTGGAACAAAAGCAATACAGCTCATAAACATTGAAAAGTTTATTTTTAAATGAGCTATATGGCCTAAAGAGCATATTTTACTCAAGGAAGAAGGAGAAGTCAAAAAAATTTCACTGCACATTTCACTTGCTCAAGGAAATGGCACAGAAGACATTCTTATTGTCTTCCCTACAGCTGAGCATTTTGGGAGGAGGGGTGATAAGCCAGTATTTACTGAGTTCCTATTGTATGTGAGTACCTCAAGTATTCTAACTTGTAAAGAACTTACTTCAACCTCTACAGTAAAAAGTGCCAAATTTCATATCTGTTCACCATTTTTGGTGAATTGCCAACCTGATGCAGCTGTCCTTAGACATGTGATTTGTTTGCATGGATAATGCAAAGTCATATCCCCCATATCACAACAACTGTGCACACTTAAAATGTTACGCATGTTACCAACAGTATGGAAAACAGGAGAGAGCTTTAAGCCAGCTCTCACATCAGTGTACTAACCCATGAGCCTGATCTGCAACACAGGGGGGGCTCAGTGTCTGACAACATTGCCACATTGAAATCTCAGCCCTCTAGACATGACTTTATTGTCAGCAGTATCCAGAGATGGAAATCTCCCATGAACACTTTCGTATTTCATCCTTAGGAAAAGACTTTTAAATTTTTACTTTTTCAAAGTTTCTCTAGTCCTGGGTAAATGAACTAATTTGTTTCTTAATAACAGGGAGGAAGTGTATGTTTAAACTCTGCCTGCTGATGATGCAGTTTGGTAGGGAAGGAGGTGTTTTCAGTAGAATGGTTATTTGTTCTAAAACAAAACAATAACCAGTGGTGATCCTGAAGTGATGATGGATCTCAGGTCTGCATTCAGAGCAACAATGAAACCCTCAGGGGTCCAGGAAGAAGGAGAGATGTGCATCTTCATCTGTGCTTTCCTGCTCACTGTATGACTTGTTTGGTACACCACTTTAATCCACTGGGTCCACACAAGGCCTCCAGACTATGGGTAACTGCCCACAAACCAGCTCATCTGCACTTGCAAATAAACCATGTCCACTTCTTCAGCTTCACTGATTTCAGTAGCACAGATACATATGAGCAAATCAAAGAGTTACATGTGCACAGCATGGAGTGAACTGTTACTTTAAGTATGTGAGAAAATGAAACAACTCCTGAAGCTCCATTACAATTCAAATACTTTTGACACAAAAATGCTTAGACCATCACAGATGACAAAAGGCTATATTAGGGACTAGTTTGGGCAAGGCTTGGATTTTCTTAAAACAATGATCAATCAGTTCCCCAGCAAAGACAGGAACACTGAAGGTCTGTTTATTGCTTCCTTTGTCTGCTACAGTCTTGTAAAGACTTCAAACTGTAATCTTTGGCTTGCTATGTCAGAGAAAATCCCACAAACAGACACTAAAATAATAGGCAATCATGTGCTGCTCCCTTTTATAGCACTGTGCCTCACCCACTTGGTTATTCACACATGCAGCAGTGAGAACTAAGACACCCATCTCACCTGCCTCTTACATTAACTTTTGTAATGGCAAATTGCAGTGCCCCTCACCTACAACAAATCCTGGCAGTTTTTCTTTTCAAGGTGGGTACCCTGAAAATGGACGGAAAAATATGGGGTAGTCTAAGCAAGCCCCAGGTGTAAAGCAGAAAGGCAACAAAAATTTACTTTTGCTTTGGATGTCATTCCAGAGACTGCACTGTTAGTTACTGGACATCTGCACCATCACAACAGCAGAATCCATCTTCCAAGGACAGGTTGCAGTAAACTGGTTTTACTCCAGGAATCTCGTCTATAAAGCCCTTCCCTTGATATATTTACATGGCTATAAGCAAGTCAGAACATTTCTCCGAGGAGTGAATAGCAGCCAGCAAAAACACAGCCCTAGGCTCATGCAGAAGTGGGTAGGATTTAAAAATTTCTGCAGCAGTTAGTGGTTAGGCACAAAAAAACACCCCACCCTCCTGCCCCAGGCGAGAGAGAATATGCCGACAGTGCAGAGCGTACTTCATGCGTCAGGATCCATCACTTGGCTTTGAACAAGATCAACAGATTTCAGGAGAGCGAGAGAAGGGGATAATGCAGATGTGCCCTAAGATGCAATATGTTGACTAACATCCCAGTGACTGAGTGGCAACGTTAATGAGAAAAGGCCTAAACTATTGCACTCAGCAAACTGTTAAATGGAAGTTTTGGGATGCTCCTGCCACTCTGGAAGAGAAGAACCCATAAAGGTCAAACTGGAGTCTCTAAACCCAAAGCCAGTATCCTTTAATATTACTTTCCACTTTGGCTTTTCTACTACAGAGGATGCCCATAGGGAAATTATAACATGTCCTTGTCCCATCAGTGCTGCTGTGTCAGCACTAGTGCTCTTCTGGAGTTAATACATAGATAATATCTTTCAATTGTGCAGACAAACCGGAGTACACTCGGAAAAAGAAAATTATCTGATCACTTAAAATGTCATCACAGAAATACCAAAGAAAATAAAATCAGGAAGCACATTTTCCTACTGGTTCCTTGGGAAAACAAGTCTCTCTGAAGGGAAGAAGCATGTTCAGCAAACAGAGCTCAATAATTTTATTGCCCAGTGCACAATTTCCTATGCATTTTTTTCTTGTGTTTTACTTGCCCCAAACTATTCTGATCACAGAAGGAATAAAAGAAATAAAACAATGACATTAAAAGGGCTTAATGAAGACTGTATTACAATGAATGTGCTACTGTTGCACATACTGGTGAACTTAACTAAACAGCATGAGAAACACTCTACAGTGTGCCATAAACATCCCATATCAATAACACATGGATTATCTGTTTTCCTCAAGGGAAGCAGATGTGCAGTTTTTGAGAGGAAGGTTTTAGTCTGACTCTGGTTTGCCATCATTAGGTTGAGGATAGCATAATATCCATCACTACTGGGTTTCTGCAATAAAAGTACTGGATAGTCACTGGATAGTGCCTGATGACAGTCTAATTCCCAGCTCCGTCAGGGGCCTCCAGAAAGATCTTGGGCAAGTCATGTTTTTGTAGTACTATGTGTTAATACCAAGTAAATTCATAAGTAAATGTGGTAAACACAGCTAAACACAAAATATCAACCTGAAGAGTATCTTTTATTTGTGTGATTTATGAGTGATTATCCATCAGTGAATACTGATGATAATATTTCCTTTTCTCTACTCTTTTTGTAGTACACTAAACTCATAAATCCAACATGTGGCACCATCTTTCCATATTCACAGTCCCAAACAACTGTAATCCCACTTGGGGTGGGGCACACGGGCGTTGCTCTAATTAAGAGCCATGATAATGCACAGGATGACTTTTTCATGTGCTATGTTCCTGTAAAATCTTACTGGAATCTTGCCTGGCAAATGATCTAAAATCTCAAACTTTCTGTTGTTCTTGTGCAACTCATCTGTTAACATGTCTGTGCAACAGAGCATGAGTAACTTAAAGCAGGGACCATACTTGAGACTGAAGGAAATACCCTGTGAACTTGGAGACATGCCATCTCAAAGCTCCAGAGTATCTGAGGTCCAACACAGTTGATAAATCTGCAGCAGAAGTTCTATTAGCACTTTTACTGTTGGACTCAGGAGTCCATTTTTAACACATCAAAAAATTAAAATATTAATGACATTAAATTAGCTGCAAGTCTTAAAAAAATATATAAGGTGCTGGTTTAAAAAATGCCTCCAAACTGCCTCAACACTTGAGGTATCATGCCAGGTTTTTTTTGCTAAATGGTTACAAAAGATTGTACAACTTAGTCACATAATCTAAATTCCCACATTTGCTACTGAGAATATTCTTTCTAAATCAATTTCACTGACAGATAAAATCTTATACAAGGAGTGACTAAGAGCCTCAAGTTCTCAGATTTCCCAAAACAACTTGGTCTAGATGGGCTCTGAATGTTTTGATACTTTTTACTGCAGGAAAGTAAAAGATTGCTATCATCCCTATCAAATCCTACTTGAAGTGAGTAATCTATGTATACTTGTGGTCAAAAGCACAGCAACTGCTAATGTGTTACACCTACATTTAGTGCTTACTCACCACACAGTTCAAGACTGTCTCTGGTCTCAATACAGATGGGAGTTAAACAAGGTGAAGAGAAAATTGAGCATCCTCATCTGTAGCTGTGAGGAGGAACCAGGCAGGAAATTAATGCATTTCTGATACACAAGCCAAGGGGATGATCCAGCGAGGGCATGTGGGTGCCTGTACCCCACGTGCAGCTCCCAGCACAGCTGTGTGAGGTGTCCATGGGCAGCTTGGGCCAGTCTGGCTGTGGGCGGTGCTGGAGGAACTATTGGTACCTCATCCCTGTGGGCTGGGAGCTGTCCCTGTTATGGCTTCCACAGCTCATTTCATCAGTCCTGACCGTTATATTGGAAAAACATCGTGTACAAACCAGTTTTAAGAAACGCAAATCCATGTGGGGAAGCCAGGTGTGCAGCATGGAAGGGATGTTTCCTGATAAAGACAGGAAAATCATGTTTGATTCAGCAGCGCCTTCAAGCGCCAGGGCACTCTGCAATCCTGAACTGCAGGATGCAGCCACAGCTGGGGCTGCTCCTTGTCGCTGTCCCAATCTCCTTGTCTGTTTCTCCAGTCAAGTTTCTTCATTTTCACTTGTCCTTCCTCACAACCAAGACAGCACTGCTCAGGTCCTGCTCCTCAGGTACAGATTTTCCCCTTCTGTGAGGAGATAGTGCCTGCGATAAAGGCAATGGCAGCTTGAGGTGGAGAGTTGTGGTTCCCTCGGCTGTGCCAAAGGCTGGGCCTACCATGCCATCCCTGGTGGGGTGTGCTCCATGCTGAGGGAGGAGCCCCTCTCCCTGGCCCAGGGACACTCGCAGGAACACTGTCTTAGAGTCTTAAACTGTACCGAGGGAGGTCTCAGTTGGACATCAGGAAGAATTTCTTCGCAGAAAGAACGATTAGACATTGGAGCGGGCTGCTGAGGGATGTGCTGGAGTCACCATCATCCCTCGAGGTGTTTAAGGAAAGACTGGACATGGCACTTAGTGCCATGGTCTGATTGACACGGTGGTGTCAGGTCATGGGTTGCACTCGATGATTTCAGAGGTCTTTTCTGACCCAACTGATTTTGTAATTCTGTGAGATGGCACCTGGCCCAGACACCAGCCATTGGGTGGGAGGCCTGAGGGACACAGCACAGCCTTGCATGCCCAGATGCAACAGCGTACGAGGTCCCCAGGGATGCCACACGCACCCTGTGTACGTACGAGGTCCCCAGGGAGCGGCACCAACCCCGCGTTTGCTGCCCGCCCTCAGGATCAGGATTGGGATCGACACCGGGATCTGGATCGGGATCGTGATCAGGCTCCGCCCGCCCCGCAGCCCCACAGCGCCTCCCACCGCGCGCAGGCGCAAACAGCCCGCGCCGCCCGGGCGCGCGCTGGGCGCAGGCGCTGTACCGCGCCTTCCCGGGCGGCGGGAGGTTGGAGCGAGTGCGGGCAGCGGGAGCTGCTCCTGCCGGGCCGGGCTGGGCTTCTCCTCGCTTCGCCCGCGCCCCGGGGCATCGTGGTCCCCGAGGGGCCCCCCCTCGCTCTGCAGCCGCTGCGGTTCTGTGCTGTGGTACCGTTTCTGGAGTGCCTCAGGGCCCCCCAGGGTGCATCCTCTCAGAACGCGCTCCTCGGGCCTGTGTCTTTGTCTCTGGGTTGCCCAGCCTTCGTCCCGCTTCTCTGGGGGTGGAAAGCTGGCTGGGGAGAAGTTTTATTGAGTGTTAGTAGAGCCTTCAGTTGAGAAAGTGAAAGGAGTGTGTGCTGTTGTATAACGTACTTTAAGCAGGAAAACTGAGAACGTAGCTTCATAGACTTACCCAGAGTGAAAAATCAAGTAAGTAGTGAAGTGGAAAATTGTCTTTTCCCCTTCTAACCCAAGTTTTCTTTACTTGATGGACAGAATTATTTTTCTGTGTGGTGAAAAGCATCACTGCTTGAAAATGCCAAGGTTCTTAGGCTGTGATGCTGGGAAGGATTTTAAGAGTGCAGGAGATCTGTGTGAACGTGCTGTCAAGGAAGAGCATTACCGAAGTATTTGTTGTACTTATGGTCATTGGAAGATGAATCTGCATTAGAAAGTAAGGGCAGAGAGGCATAGGTTTTGAGGCGTTTTTTAAAGCTATCTATTTAAGATAGCTCTTAGGTTTGAAACTGTTTTGCTATTTACTGAATTACGTGTTTGTGACATACTGTACACATAAGCATGATGTAGCTTTTTTTAGGCTCTTGCTTACATTAAGAAATAATATTAACTTCCATTATATTTAATGGATGCTGTGAGCTTTCTGTTTAATTGATGGATTGCTAAGATACCCAATTAACTGGATTCTTTACTGAGGTCTGAGGCTTTTTAATGGGGTTCCGTATGTTCGGTTTTGAACAGCTGGGGGGGAACGTTGACTTGTAAGATAAATGAGGATCTGCATCCTTTGGTAGAGAGCCAGGAAGACCAGGGTTGCTGGGTTATTAAGGCTTTGGCATACTAAAGCTTTGGCATTTTTCACCTCTGAAGAGGAAGCCCCCTCGTGCCGGTCTCGTGTTGCCCAGTCACTTGTTTGCAGGATTTTATTCCTGAGAGGCTTCTGTTCCAAAACTCCTAATTGCAATTTGCAGATGAGCAGAGGTGTAGCTGTCGATTTTCCAGCTGCATTCTGGTCATTAGCAGGTGCTTCACAAGTGCTAAACTAAGTTAAACATTGCCAAATCGACTTGCAGTTGGTTCGTGCTGGGAGGGGTGACTTACCAATTTAATTAAAGTGCCTTTCTGAGCGAAAGGGGGATGTTTCCTGTTAGTCAAAAGTTCTACTTGTGTGAGTAATTACTTTTTTAAGCAGCATTCCCCAGACGTATCAAATGATAAAGTGGATTATTTTCACAGACCTGGATACCCAATTATTTGGTCTATAGAAAAGATTAATTGTTTATACATGCGGACAACAAAAATCGTCCTGGCTCCCAACAATCCTTTTATCACTACTTGGGATGCAGTTAAATGAAAGAACTGTTTCTTAACAACTGACTTAGGAAGCACTATTCCTTTGAGTTAGACAAGCAGTAAGGGTCATTCAGGTTAAGAAAATACAGTTTGTTTCGAGTGAGCTTTTTTTGATGAATTCAACGCTTCAGGATCTGACCTTGGATTTATAGGCAGACACTTAAAGGAAGATGTCAAATAGGAAAAAAATTTACAATGGATAATACCTGTAAGGCTTTTTATAAATATTTTTCATCTTTTAAAGAAAACAATCTGTAGAGCTTTAGGAGTGAGGAAAAAATAACGTGTAAAATTCATGGTAAGGAACTTTGTGGCAGTTAGTAGTGTCTTGCATCCTCTTGAAGAAAAGCTGTTCGCAAAGGAAGATGCTCCTTAGCACATTAAACAGTTGTGAAACTGATGCAGACACCTTTTTGGAACATGCTAATTAGAAAATAAGCCTTAGAATTTCCTGTTGGAGCTTTTTACTCATTTCTGCAGCCACATAGCTCATTATAATCAGGTGAAAATGACACCATAATTCATTCTGTTGTTTAACAGAGACTGCTATCCATCTTGAGATGGAAGAACCAGTGCTAGATAAATTGCCATCTTTGTGTGATACTCCAAAGGATTCTGGAGCAGCACCTCCACAGAGAACTAGTTCAGGGAAACAGGTATGGAAACTTTGTTTTGCCAGTAATGTGATTCTTCATAGTTAAAGAATGCCTGTGAAATAATCAAGGAGCGAGAGGTCACTGAGATAGTGCTGGAAGGCTAAAGACAGGTACCTTATAACCATAGCTACAAGGTTGTCCAGGTAAGGAATGTGCTCGGTACACTTTGCTCTGAATATGCAGATGTTTGCTGTGAATACAAAGTGATGGAGCAACATAACCCAAATGCCATACTAATACACTTAAATACTGTTTAGGGTTTGTGGTGGGTTTTTTTGTTTGTTTTAAGCTGTCATCTTTAGCTTCCTCAGATCCTAGTTTTCTGTGTTGCCGTGCATGCAGGATGACTTTCTGTAACTTCTGCCTGCACTGGAACAAAGTAGACTGCTTTCAGTTTGCATGTTCTCCATAGTGCTGAGCTCTGCTTTGGCCTTAATCCTGGCATTTGTTATGGTGATGCTGTCATGCTCAGCATCCAGCTCTGTGCAGGACAGGCCTAGTTTACAAGTATTCCTTCACTAATCCCACACTCCTGTATTTTAGCGTATTTCTGGAAGTAAAAATGTTAGACACATTATAAAAAATAATTGTAAACTTATTTTGAAGGAAAAAAAAATTTTTTAGATGCTTATCAGTGAAGTATCCCAAAGCACGAACAAGTAAAAATTATACAGATATTTGTAATATGCTCAAATAGAATACAGATGTTTAACACTAGTGCTAATACAGATGTATATCTGTAATAAGATGGAACAGCAGAAAAAAACCATTAAACTAGAGGGGGAGATTGAACTTGATAGAATAGGTTCAGCCAAGTTGAAATATGCCATATTTCTGCTACACAAAGACTAGATAAGTAGGTTTGGCTCAACAGAATACAGGATTTGGTCCTAGAAAATGTGGAGCTACATCTTTCCTTATCTTGCAGTTGCGTGTGCAGATACATGCGGAAAGAAGAAGTTAGCTTTGTTCAAGTTTGTCAAGGCTATAGAGAGAATCACGAAGTCTGGCCTTACAATGATTATTAAATATACTACATATTCTATATAAATAATAACCAGGTAAACAGTTGTTTGAGATTTGATCAAAATTTAAGATTATGCTGACCACCTGTTTTTGTTTGTTTGTTTTTTAGCAAATGAGTGCAGCTCTGAGGGAGCGATTACGGAAAACAAGACGTTCTTTTAATGCCAATTTTACAGTGGCAAAGCGGCTCAAAATAGACACTGAAGAAAAAGACTGTGCTGATGCTGACACAGGGTGCCTGCCAATGACAAGTACAGATTGTTCCAGATTACAAGATGGTCCTGAAGACCTTGAAAGAAACAGCACTGCACATACATGTTTCAGAAGTCCCTCACGAGAGAGTGATCCCAGTGGATCAGCAGAGAACTCAAATGTGCTACCGGTTGATCTTGGTCAGCAACAGTCCCTGGAAGAAAAAGTAAGGCTGGTGAAACAAGTGCAAGAGAAGGAAGAATTACTTCGTAGGCTTAAACTGGTGAAGATGTATCGATCCAAGGTGAGGCAATACTGACTCACGGGTCTTTTGGGGTGTGTGGTGTTTGTGTATTGTCTCAGTTTAATGCATTTTATAAAAATATCTGCATGGTATCAAAACCCCTATATGTCAGCAAATGACAGTTTTTTTTGTTTTCTTTTGTCCCAATTGCAGAACAACCTGTGTGAACTGCAGGCTTTGATAGTGAAATGGAGAAGCAGCACCCAGCTGATGCTGTATGAACTACAGTCGGCCTTTTCTGCAGATGGCAAGAAAGTGAGTCTCACTCAGCTGATCGATACTTTTGGATTAGAAGACCAGTTATTGCACTACAGCAGAACAGAAGAAGATTTTGTAGATGCATAATCTACAATTGCAAAGATTTCATTAGACACAAAAGCAGAAAAGACCAAGTGAATTCTGATCATGTCAGAAGTGTTGATCAGGCAGTGGACTTGATGCTTCGGGGTTAGGAGGTTTTCTCCAGAGAAACTTGTAAAGCTTTGTACTTAGATACAGTAGGCACTGTAAAAGGCATTACTTATTGGAAAAGATCAAACTGTTAGTGTTTTGGAGAACCTGGCTTAATGACTTGGTCAGTTAATTTTTATTTAATAAAAAGAAAATGAGATCATACTTTAACAGGTAGAAAGCAGTCCATTCTTTGGTTAGTCTTTGTATGGTTACTTCTATTGAAATAACTCAAATTGTCATTTCTGTTTGTGTTCAGATGGGGAAAAGTTCAGTTTTTTATTCATAAATACATCCCCATTTTACAAATGTCTTCCTGCTACCAGTCAGCTAATGAAGGCCAGTGACAGGATTTTGTGAGTTAAGTAAAGATAACTAGTTTTCATGATGTTAATATTCTGAGGCTGTGATAAGATGTTCTCACTGGCTTTAATTGTTATTGAGGGATGTGTGCCACAATGCAATTGCTTTTGGGTACTGGTCCAGACAGTCACCTTCAGGGCCACTGTCTCATTATCATTCTGCCCCAGCCTGAGGTAATAGAAGGG